GAGAGAGAGAGAGAGAGAGAGAGAGAGAGAGAGAGAGAGAGAGAGAGAGAGAGAGAGAGGGAGAGAGAGAGAGAGAGAGAGAGATGGCGCAGAGGCAGTTGACACCGAATTGTATTGCGGAAATACTGGCAAGAGGACAGTTAGAGATTCATCCTATAGTCCAGGTTCTTGATGTGAAGCGGATTGGATCGGCAGGCGCAACTCAAGAGCGTTTTCGGTTAGCTGTCTCAGATGGCACTCATATTCAGCAGGCCATGATAGCGACGCAAATGAACGAAAAAGTCAGGTCTGGAGAGCTTGGGCCTGGATCAATTCTCGAATTGCAGGAGTACATTTGTAATATCGTCCAGAGTCGCCAGTAAGTCAGATAAATACCTCCACCTTTTTTTTGTTGTTGTGTGTGTGTGTGTGGGGGGGAGGCGGAGGGGGGGGTGCAATTAATTAGACGAAAAAGTAAGTCATTTCCAGCAGTACCAGTACCATCCACCATACTCCACTTTCTTTTTGAAGGTTTTTTTTTTTTTTTTTTTTTTTAAGTTATATCGTATGTAATATAGTTTATTAAACTTTATTTATGACAATGTCCAGCTTACCGCAATAGTAGTCTTGCTGTTATTTCAGTTCAATTTGCCTTTGCATCCCTGTCCCTGATCTCCAACTTCTCCTTGCTTTTTCTGTCCTGATGCATCCTCGGAATTAGTCCGAGTGGTGGTAGGGAGCCAAGGGACCAGCAAAGTGGATGATAAGGACTCGAATGGACAATGCAGCATCAGCGAAGCATCAACAAGCAATGTACACATCCGTATACATACAAAAATGGCACAATGTAGGGCAGTGGAAGACTCCAAGGTATGTCCTGAGTAGTCTGACCCTGACTCAACTCAGCCCATCAAACACCATACATATGAGAGAGAAGGGAGGGAGCACACACGCAGAAGAAAGGTCCCTCCTTGAGCACGCACATGGGGAAAAACCACGGATGAAGGGATGGAGGAGTAAGACGAAGATGGAGGCAAGGGAGAAGACCAGAGTCGCAATAGCGTAGTCCAAAAATTGTCTCCCCGTCGAATGTCCAATCAATTTCTGCCCCTGCAATGTTGAATCAGACCCTGAGCCCATGGCCTGACATAACCTCTGCCTGTAATCCCTCTCTCTCCCTCTAAGAAGAAGGAGACGTAGAAGAAGACTGGATATGAAGGGTGGAGACAGGAGGAGGAAGAAGATGCCGACCTCTCCTCTGTCGCGATAGTGTAGTCCAAAAAATTGTCTCCCCGTCGAATGTCCAATCAATTTCTGCCCCTGCAATGTTGAATCAGATCCCGAGCCCATGGCCCGACATAACCTCTGCCTGTAATCCCTCTCTCTCTCCCTCTGAGAAGAAGAAGAAGAAGAAGAAGAAGAAGAATGGCTATGGAATGTGGAGACAGGAGTAGGAAGAAGATGCCGACCTCTCCTCTGTTGCGATAGCGTAGTCCAAAAAATTCTCCGGGTTGAATGTCCAACCAATTTCTGCCCCTGCAATGTTGAATCAGATCCTGAGCCCATGGCCCGGCATAACCTCTGCCTGTAATCCCTCTCTCCCCCTCGAAGAAGAAGGAGAAGAAGAAGAAGAAGAAGAAGAAGAAGAAGAAGAAGAAGAATGGATATGAAATGTGGAGACAGGAGGAGGAAGAAGATGCCGACCTCTCCTCTGTCGCGATAGCGTAGTCCAAAAAATTGTCTCCCGGTTGAATGTCCAATCAATTTTCCGCCCCTGCAATGTTGAATCAGATCCTGAGCCCATTGCCCAACATAACCTCTGCCTGTAATCCCCATCTCTCTCCCTCTAAGAAGAAGGAGAAGAAGAAGAAGAAGACTGGATATGGAGGGTGGAGACGGGAGGAGGAAGAAGATGCCGACCTCTCCTCTGTCTCACCTGCTGGTAATTACTGCTGTGTACTGACAAGCTGTGGTGTCTCCCTGTGGTGCAGAATGCCGGCGAAGGAACCATCCATGGCACCCAAGTAAGCTCTCTGCACCTCGCAGGAATGGGCCACTATCACCCAACCTCGCCTCTCCTACCTCCTACACCTCTACCTCTAGCTAAGTGCAGTGTTGATAATCACTTGCCGCTCCAGCATCATGTCGCCCAAGGAGTGGGAACTCCTGTCTGTGTACTGGTCCAGAGGGCTGGCCCAGCTAAATAGCGCTGGGCCTGGCTGAACAGCCCTCGGCCTCCGAATAGGACCATTGGATCTAGTATCCAATCGACAGTCCTGATTGCAGGCCAGAGTCCTGGACCAGCGACCTGGCCTAAAAACGGCCTGCTTGGGTCCCTGCCGGACAAAGTGGAAAGTCCGAAACGACACAACTGGACCAGTCGAAAATAGACAGACAAAAGACCTGAATCAAAAATGTTTTTTTTTTTTTTTTTTTTTTTTTTTTGTGATGAATCAAAAATGTAAGTAAATGCTGAATCAAAAAATGAACCTGCATGGCACGGAAAACATGCCTGGCCTCATAGGATGCCCGTGGACCTCCAGGTCGTTCACGAAAATAGGTGCACGGCCGAGGGACCCCCAACAACCATCGGGGGCCCGAAATGGGGCCTGTGTGCAGGTCTTAGGATGCAACAGTCGTCTTGGCATAATTGCCCCTTGCTTTTTTTCTGTCCTCTTGGTGTAATTGCCGCTTGCTTTTTTTCTGTCCTCTTGGCGTAATTGCCGCTTGCTTTTTTTCTGTCCTCTTGGCGTAATTGCCCCTTGCTTTATTTGTCCTCTTGGTGTAATTGCCCCTTGCTTTTTTTTCTGTCCTCTTGGCATAATTGCCCCTTGCTTTTTTTTTCTGTCCTCTTGGCGTAATTGCCCCTTGCTTTTTTTCTGTCCTCTTGGTGTAATTGCCCCTTGCTTTTTTTCTGTCCTCTTGGCATAATTGCCCCTTGCTTTTTTTCTGTCCTCTTGGCGTAATTTTCCCTTGCTTTTTTTCTGTCCTCTTGGCGTAATTNCCCTTGCTTTTTTTCTGTCCTCTTGGCGTAATTTTCCCTTGCTTTTTTTCTGTCCTCTTGGCGTAATTGCCCCTTGCTTTTGTTCTGTCCTCTTGGCGTAATTGCCCCTTGCTTTTTTTCTGTCCTCTTGGCGTGATTGCCCCTTGCTTTTTTTCTGTCCTCTTGGCGTAATTCCCCCTTCCTTTTGCTGAGCAGTATAACGCCTTCCTTTCCTTTTGCATTCCGCAGCTCCTCTACCAGTTCACAGTGATTTCTTCTGTTTGTAGTCTTTTGTCTTTCTACCACTGTATGTTTGCAACTTTGCATCTTTGACATGGTTCGTCTGACCTGCATCCCCCTTTCCACAATGTGCATTGTGTGGGCAGGATTCTGTTTGTAGTCTTTTGTCTTTCTTTCTTTCTTTCTTTCTTTCTTTTTCTTTTTTTTTTTCCTTTTTTTTTCCTTTTTTTAAAAGATCCATGTGGTAGTAGCGGCTGGGCTCTATGCCTCGGGAAGTGTCTGATTTGCATGTTCAACCAGTGGGGGGGTCACTTGGAGGTTCCACATTTTCGGGGACACCTAACCATGCAGAATACACTATTAACTGTGTTACCTTTAACTGCCGTAAGTCGAGCCCCTATAGCTGGTTACCCAGACCTAGCCTACCACTGTATGTTTGCAACTTTGCATCTTTTACATGGTTCGTCTGACCTGCTTCCCCCTTTCCACAATGTGCATTGTGTGGGCAGGATCATCATCGTTCTGCAGTTTGAGATTATCGGATACGAGCAAGACCAGATTGGTTGCCCGGTTCCTATTTCTGATGGATTAAGGGGAGGTTCGAGTCAGCAGCAGCTGCTGCCACCTCCTGGAAGTGCTCAAGATACAGAGAGTTCTGGTGATTTTGAGTCGAGTGCACAACCGCCACAGGAACCGAGATCTGGACCAATTAGACCGGGCGGAGAGGGACAGGCAAGGGATGGGAACATGACGATGATGCCACCTGCAAGACATGCAGACGGTCCAGAGGTCATGGCAGCCAGGGGCAGGGGAAGCAGTGGAACCCCTGGCCCAGGGAGTGTGTGCAAGCAAGAACCGCCATCGAGCGCAGGTAGCTATGGAACGAGTCGCCAGGCGTACACCAGTGAGCCTCAGCATCCGTACGGGCGGATGGGAGATGGAGGAACAGCAATGCCGCCACCGTTGTATAGTCGATCGGGTCCAGTTGCGAAGAATGAAGCTGCTCCGCGCATCATCCCGATCGCAGCGTTGAGTCCGTATCAAGGACGGTGGACAATCAAGGCAAGGGTGGGCGCAAAGCAGGAAAAGCGATCCTATAGCAATGCGAGAGGCACTGGGTGCGTTTTCAGCTTTGACCTCCTCGATACCAGCGGGGAGATACGCGTCACGTGTTTCAACCAGGTTGCCGAAAGGTTTTACGAAAAGATCGAGGTTGGTAGAGTGTACTACGTGTCCAAGGGATCGCTGAAACCTGCGCAGAAGTCGTTTAATCACCTCAACCATGACTGGGAGATTCTTCTCGAGAACTCCTCGACCATCGATCTTGTGGAAGATGTAGAATCTGCTATACCTCTGCACAGATTTGATTTTAAGATGATCTCCCATCTGGAAAATATAGAGAACAATGCAATGGTGGATCTTATTGGTCTTGTCACGGCCGTGCATCCAACGCAACCGATCTTGCGCAAAAATGGCGTGGAAACCCAGAAAAGGGTGATAACACTGCAGGACCGATCTAATAGGAGTGTGGAGCTTACCCTCTGGGGAGGGTTCTGCATGAAAGAAGGTCAAGAGTTGCAGGACCTTTTAGACAGAGGAGGACCCCCGCCTGTCCTTGCAGTTAAGGCGGGTCGCGTGAACGAGTTCAGTGGTAAGTCGGTCGGGACCATTTCTAGCACGTTGTTGCTCATCGACCCCGATATCTCGGAGGCGGCGCAACTCAAGGGTTGGGCTGCACAATCTGGCCGCATCACGCCTGCTGTATCGATGTCGAGAGAATCGGGCGGGGGGGGGGGATTGGGCCGGATGGACGCTCGGAAAACGATTTCACAGATCAAGGATGAAGGTCTTGGAACAAGTGGACGGACCGATTGGATCACTCTTCGAGCGACAATAGCATTTATTAAACAAGAAGCCTTTGCGTATCAGGCGTGCCCGGAGCAGACTGGGGATCGGACATGTGGCAAGAAGGTGATGGAAACAGGTGATGGGCGCTACAGATGTGAGAAGTGTGATAAGTCCGTCCCAAACTGCGAGTACAGGTACAAGCTGAACTTTGAAGTGCAAGACCACACGGGCAAGACGTGGCTGACGGCGTTTCAAGACACGGGTGTTGCCGTCCTGTTAGATACGACTGCACAGGAAATGTGGGAGTGGAAGGAGATGCAGGACCCCAGGTTTCAGCAGACATTTACAGCGAGCTTGTTCCGCAAGCTCCTGTTCAAGGTGAAAGTGAAGGAGGAAACATACAATGACGAAACACGGGTCAAATTGACAGTCGTGAAAGCCGAAAAAGTGAACTACGTGGAGGAGACCAGGGTCCTTGGAGACATGATACGAAGGATGCAGGCAGGGCTTCCGATGGACGGTGGGGTGGCGAAAGGGCAACCAACTCAACAGTCACAGCAAACGCAACAAGCACAACAAGCACAACAAACACAGGGTTATGGATCGGGGGCAGGATCGTATGGTGGATCTATGGGAGGAGGCGGGGGTGGCGGGTATGGAGGAGGTGGAGGTGGTGGCTACGGGGGAGGTGGAAGACAGGGAGGTGGAGGAGGAGGAGGAGAGCATGTAGGAGGAAGAGGTAATGCTGCAGGGGACTGGGCCAGGTCAAGCTCTGGTAGCATGGGAAGCGAAGGAGGGTATGCAACCAGCAGGGGAGGTGGTGGCTATGGTGCTGAAAACAATGGATATAGTGGTGGTGGTAGTTGGAGAGAAGATCCGGTATGCTATAAGTGTGAGAAGCCAGGCCATGAACCAAGGGATTGCCCCTCCTGGGGTCAAGGAGGCAACAGGGCAGTGGCTGGTGGGCCTGGAGGGTACCAGAGCAGCAGTGGAAGGAGCTCGACAGAAGGTCAGAATTGCTTCAAGTGCCAACAACCTGGCCACTGGGCCAAGGAATGCCCTAATTCTGGTGGAGGTGGGGGTTATGAGGGTGGAGGAGATTATCGTGGGGGGGGGATGGCCAGCAGGGGCAGAGGGAGCTACGGTTATGCATGAGCCAATCAAGGTCAACATTGTGGGTATGTAGATCAACAAGCCAAGCCAAACAAACCTCGTCTTGTCTGAGAGATGACGATGGGGATCGAGCAATGGCGATGGTTCTGTGCCACCCATCGTTGGAGCCAGAGAGCCCATCAATGTCGTTCGAACTCGCTGCAGTGGGTGTGAGAAGCTGGGCCATGAACCAAGGGATTGCCCCTCCTGGGGTCAAGAGGCAACAGGGCAGTTGCAGGTTGGCATGGAGGGTACCAGAGCAGCAGTGGAAGACTTCCAAGTGCCACCACCCTGGTCACCGGCACAAGAATGTCCTGATTTTGGTGCAGCTGGGGGTTATGGGGCGAGAGGAGATTATCGTGTTGGGGGCAGAGGGGGTACGGTTGTGGATGAGCCAATTAAGTGCAACAAGATTGTGGTTATGTAGACGAACAAGCCAAGCCGAACAAACCTTGTCTGAGAGACGAGGATGGTGATGGTACGATGGCAATGGTTTTCTGCCCGCTCGAGCCAGAAACTCGTGGATGTCGTCATTCCAACTGGCTGGATTTGCTCTTTCGGCTCGTGTCATTGCTCGTGGACTTGTGGACATTTGGGGATTACAGTTTGCTGTTTTTAGGCGAGGAATTTGGAGGTGTACAGCGCACAAGTGGGGAGCGGAGGGGAGAGTAGAATTTTAATTCTCGATTTTGAATCCCAATTTTGAATCACAAACTCATGATCTGATCATGAGATAGTCACTGTGGTTTCTTACGACGGCTCCTGACCCCACACTCGATGGGATTCGGATTCGAATGCCGAGCTCCTTCATCCGCGCCTGCAGGCCTGGGCACAATGGATAGTGTGGTAGCCCCATTACTGGGCAAGCGTGCAATTCGGCCAGGCCCGGCCAGGTGTGCCATGGGAGGGACAGAACTGTAATTAGACAACTGCAACGCCTGGGGAGCATTAGCTTCTTGTTTATTGTTATTCTGTTAGGGTTTTTTTTTTTTTTTTTTTTTTTTCCGGGGGGGGAGTGGGGAACCACACAATTGTATTAACAGCAATGGAACTGAGGCGGGGGACCTCGCACTTCTTTCTGGACTGGGGCCATTACCCAGGTTGGCTGATGTTGGAAACCAGGTCCAGCGTCCCATTCATTCATCATTTTTTTTTATTTTTTATTTTTGTTTTGTTGTTGTGTGTGTGTGTGTGTGGTGGTGGTGGGGGTCTGTTGAGTATTAATTTTTCCTTATGCTTCCTTTTTTTAAAATTTTAGGGTTCTACTCCTCATGAGACCCCCATGACCCACCCTTCCTCTTTGTCTATACTCCCCGGTGCACCCCGGCTCTGCCTGTCCTACCTTGGTGTCTACCACTCAGAAGGAGTGACCGGACCGGACATTGGTTGCAGTCACCAGGTCTCAGCAGCAACACCTGCTCTGCCTTGGTTGAAGCACGGTTAAGCGAGGCCTGGCTTGGTTGAAGCACGGTTAAGCGAGGCCTGTCGCACGGGTACTTCGGCCACTAGGCATAAGCATTCTCTTTCTACAGGCCCCATGAGTACACCCTTAGTGCCCTTCGAACTTACCTGGGCTCCCCAGTATATGGATGTAGTCGTGCACACCCTAGATATCACATGCAGTGTCTAATGGTTCCCAGTAGCCGAGGTCTAACGTATGACACCCACTGAGTAAACTGGTTACACCCATCTACCAGAAGTGTTTTTTTTTTTCCCGAGGTTTCAGCTTACTTTCAGGTGATGTATGGCCACCACCGCCCCTCTACCTTATTAGTCGTCCGCTAGACCCCTTTCAAGTTGCTTGTTTTGTTGTTCTCGTTATTATGGGTTATTTTTTTCAATTGTCTGGAGGAACTCTTGCCTCTATCATCAGGAGGAACACAACCATGTTGCCCTAACGCACCATCTATTCATCCCTCAGTCGTGGACTACACCCCTCCAGTCATTGTGGTTCTATCTCATCCGCTGCCCTTGTCTCTGTCATCAGTCTTAGGAACACAACCATGTCGCCCTAACCTGCCAGCAGTTCCCGTGCCTCGGTCATTAACTAGACCCCTCCTGTCCTTCTGTCTTTGTGGTCACTCAGATCCAGAAGTCTGCTGCCCCAAAGCAACGCCCTAAGGTAACCATCTACTACTCAGATTAGACACCTATAGATATTTGAACCTGGAGGTCTGCACCTAATTCGGCAGAAACCAGGGAACCTACACAGTGTTGAGACGATCCTGACTTAACTCATCCACAGGCTATCCCACAGTCCTGAAAAGAGTTGCTGCTCGCAAACGGGTTGTACACAGGCACATGGTTGGCCGCAAAAGAAGGAGAAGCATGCATTCATCAAGTCACTGAGATCCTTTTCGATGGTAAGTGTAAAAATGTTTTTCGGATATTTGACTACGGAGGCAATTTGACGAAGGAAGATTATCCGTAGTCAAATATACACCTTAGAATTTTAACGGATGTCCCGAAGAAATGACGAAGGAAGATTATCAAAAGTCTAAGGTGTAAAGAAATGACTATACAGTCCTTCGGGACATCCGTTAAAATTGGAACGATACAGAGAATGAAGATTAGCATGGTGGGCCCTGCGCAAGGATGACACGCATAAATCGAGAAATGGTCCAAAGAAAAAAAAAAAAAAAAAAAAAAAAAAAAAAAAAAAAAAAAAAAAAAAAAGAGAGAGAGAGAGAGAGAGAGAGAGAGAGAGAGAGAGAGATCGTCAACACTCGGCAGGCAGGCACACGACATACATGCAACATCGGCTGATCACATACATACTTAGAAAACACAGCAATCAGCCTCGGAATTGGAATTCTCAGCAAGCAGATCACCAGGACATCGTTTCCCTCAGAAGAATGCAGAGTCCTCAGACTGCAACTGTGCGAGTCATTGCGAAAAGAGCACATGAAAAAAATCAAAACGTTCCCCCCAAGAAATGGGGAAAATCGCAAATAACAGGTGAACTAACTACCGCAAGAAATAGGGGGAAAAAACCCTTCGTTGGTATTTTCTCCTGTCTTCCTGCAAGCGAAGCTGCAACGGGTCGTCAATCTAGTAGACTATGATGCAAGCTATGCACACAGACGATATGCACATATTGTCCAGGCTGTGTATACAGGCTATGGCAAAGACTGTATAGTCGTATTAGGCGATTCACAGGCTATGGAAGAGACTATATTCTATATATATTTGAGAAGCAGTGCGGGCACGCCTGCAAAGAAATAAGAAATCACCTTAAATCGAATAAAACCTAGTACATTAGGGTTAAATATCGGCACCATTTTTTTTTTTCTAATCAGAAACCGAGTAAAACCTAGTACATTCAGAGAGGAAGAACGGCAGTAGTACCTGCCGCAACCAAGGGACATGGAACATAGACTTACGGCAATATATATAGCCGCCGCTCAACCTACATCCACGTGGGCGGCCTTGTACGCAAGAGGGTTTTGAACAGGGGGAGTTGTAAGGAAGAAGATTTTTCGTGTTTCTGTTTTTCGCTTTGGCGCTCTGATATCATGTGACAATTCACATGATATCAGAGCACCTAAGCGAAAAAACCAAAAAAACAAAAAAATCTTAAATTCGTTTGTAATCTTCTTCCTTACAACTCCCCCTGTTCAGAACCTCTTGCGTACAAGGCCGCCCACGTGGATGTAGGTTGAGCGGCGGCTGCCCCCACCCCCGTGTGTCATATTTGTGCTCTGATATTTTTGTGGCAATATATACGTGGGCGGCCTTGTACGCAAGAGGTTCTGAACAGGGGGAGTTGTAAGGAAGAAGATTAAAAATGAATTAAGTTTTTTTTGTTTCTGTTTTTCGCTTTGGCGCTCTGATATCGTGTGACTTTTTTTTTTTTTTTTTTTTTTTTTTTTTTTTTTTTTTTTTTTTTTTTTTTTGATCCTTTCTTGCTAAGGATATATATATTTTTATTGCTAAGGAGAAGAAATGTCCAAACGACAATTTTGTGTCATTATAGAGAGAGTTCGTCTTGAGAGAGAGGGAGGGAGATGCCGTGTAGTTAGAACGTGATAACATGACAACTGGGGAGTTACGAATGTCCTATCGTCTTAACCCGAATAGAACGCCCGGTCATTATCGCTGCATCTGGACTCAAAGTTGGGCCAAATGCAGCGATGATGACCGGGCGTTCTATTCGGGTGAAGATGGTAGTTTTTGGAATATTATGACTCGAAGCCTGTGATAGGATTCGCAGGACTGGAAGAGCGGCTTAACCTTGGATCAAAATTCCACTTTCCTTTTCGGGAAAACCAACCAAGCAACCAAGGTTGGATTTGAAACTAGGAGGGAAAACCAATCAAGGTTGGATTTAAAACTAGGTAGCACCAAAAAAAAAAATTAAAAAAAAAGTGCACAACTTTTCCGATCGGATTACTTGACGGGAATATCCCCCAAAACAATTAAAAAATGGTTATTCTGGAGTTCCGGATAAAAACCGGAAAGAGTCACGAGGTAAGTCGGCAAAAGAAAAAGAAGCATCAAAGGGAGGGGGGCGATCGCGCTTCAGAAACCCTTCACTGGATGTGGAAATGGGGGAATTACCCGCAATTCATATTTTTGTAGCATAACAATGTGGTAGTATCATAATATGGCTAGATAGATAGATAGACAGATAGATAGACAGATAGATAGATAGATATATAGACAGATAGATAGATAGATCGATAGATAGATGGGTAGATAGATCGATAGATAGATGGGTAGATCGATCGACGCCATCGGTAGATAGATAGATAGATAGATAGATAGATAGATAGATAGATAGATAGAATGAAAATGTATAAGAATAGAAGATGATGATGGCGATATCGTCGTCATTGTCATTGACGACGATGACGAAGGGAAATAAGAGAGAGGGGGGGGTTGGTCGGGGAGGG